CCTGGAATAACACATTTTTAGATGCATATACCCATCGGTATTTTTATATTGTGAATTTTCTGCTAATGTCCTTTAGCCATTTCTCCATTGGAGTATTGTCTTATTTATTTATAAAAGTTGCCCTATATGCCTGGGTGGCTCAGTCGTTAAGCGTCTGCCTTCGGCTCAGGTCATGATCCTGGGGTCCTGGGATCGAGTCCCGCATCGGGCTCCTTGCTCAGGAGGGAGCCTGCTTCTCCCTCTGCTGGGTGCTTCCCCTGCTTGTGCTCTTGTTCCCTCTCTCTCTTTCTCACTCTCTCACTGGCAAATAAAATCTTAAAAAAAAAAAAAAAGAAATGTGGTGTTGAGACTATCTGGATGGTATATGTGACTGAACCCAATTAAGGCCTCTCTATAAACTTTTAAGTTTATTTAAGGCCTCTCTATAAACTCTCTATAAACTTATTACCCACCCACACAGGTGGGTGTGGAGATCTACTCACCTTATGTCTGCCCAAGACAAGCCTCCCAAGTTCTCTTGCTTACTAAACCTGCCACCTACCAATCCGGAGTGGTCTGTCTGTTTCTTTGAACTCCCTGCCCTGTGCAGCAGGGAACAGCTTCAGATTATACCCAACAAGCTCCCAAGGAGATTGCAAACCAACTGCCCCCACCCCAGTGCCTCAGTGTCCTTTTGGTAAATGGGGATCATAGTAACATCTATTGCAGAGTCGTTGTGAGGATTAAATGCAATAATACATCTGAATAACTGAGGACAGTGTCTGACATGTAATGATCAATTTTACATATGATTATTTTTGTGTCATTTTTCAAGGTAAGGTTTACATTTTACGTAAGTAAATTTAGCAATCTTTAAAGCCTTCAGTGTATGTGTAAGCTTTAAAAAAAAAAACGTTGAGAGAACTTTCCACAGGTTTGTATTTTCCAAAGCACAGGTTAATTGGCAAGAATTTACAACTACTTTGTATAATTGCTAATACATACAGACTTAAAGAAAAATAATCTGGTAATTAATGGCACTGAACTGCACACTTAAAAATGGTTAAAATGGCAAATTTTATTGTAAATATTTTCACACAATTTTTAAAAATTAATAATGTCATATTCCAAAAACCATTGAATTGTACACTTGAGATGGGTGAATTATGACACATGAATTTATTTCTCAATAAAGGTATTTTCTTAAAAACCTAATTGGAAAAATAATATCTGCTTAGAATATGATTAATTTTCCTTTTCTTGCCAAATGAAGGAGCTGTGACAATAAGAATAGTTATGCATTTTGATTCATTCATTTGACAAATACTTATTGAGCAGCTATTATAAGCCAAGCACTGCTAGGCCCTTGGGATTTACTGGAAACCAAAATAGTCACAAAACTTAGAGTAAAAGTATGTGGGACAGATGTAAAAAAAAAAAAAAATCAGCCCAGTGAATATTTAATCACAAATCCTAAACAGGCTATCATGAAAAACTGAAGATTACTATATAATGGGGAAATAATTTAGACTAGGGGTCAGGGGAGTCCTCTTTGAGGAAATGAAACTGAGACTTCAAGGGAAAAATAGGACTTGTCCAGGAGAATTTTCCCAGGAATTCCTGGATATATTAGATAATTGACAGGTTCTAGTGACATTAAATCTTACGGAAACAACAACAGCAAAAACAATCACTTGGCCAATTTTTTTTTTAAGATTTTATTTATTTATTTGACACAGAGAGAGAGAGAGAGAGAGAGCACAAGTAGGCAGGCAGGCAGGCAGAGGCAGAGGGAGAAGCAGGCTCCCCGCTGAGCAGGGAGCCCGATGTGGGGCTCGATCCCAGGACCCTGGGATCATGACCTGAGCCGAAGGCAGACGCTTAACCGACTGAGCCACCCAGGCGCCCCATTGGCCAATTTTCCTAGCAAGACCTTTGAACCTACTCAGTTCTCACCTTAGTAGGTGATGTTGGGACGTAGTAAGTAGTAAGTAACAAGCATTGTTCTGTGCCAATGCTTCTTAGACTTTAAGGATTGATTTATTGATTGATTTTTGAGACAGAGATCACTCATGCTTGCACACAAGCAGGAGGGAGGGACAGAGGGAGAAGGAAAGAGAGAACCCCAAGCAAGCTCCCCCCAGAGCCCAGAGCCCGGCCTGGGCTTGACCTCATGACCCTGAGATCACGACCTGAGCCAAAATCAAGAGACGGATGCTTAACCGACTGAGCCACCCAGGCGCCCTGCTTCTTAGACTTTAATGCCTATGCATTTATCTGAGGGTCTATAATGCACATTCTGATTCGATAGGTCTGGGCTGGACCCTGAGACTCATCTGATGGCCGCGAGGCTCGGCACAGGACCACACTTAACTCGGGAAAACAGACATCTGAAATAAGTAGATGCAGCAGCTTTCTGGAATTATTTTGTGACCTCTCTCTGTTTATTTTCAGTTCAAGCAAGTTTGCTGCTGTTGGATTTCATAAAGCTTTAACTGAAGAACTGGCTGCCTTAGAAAAAACTGGCATCAAAACAACATGTCTCTGCCCTAATTTCATAAACACTGGCTTCATCAAAAACCCAAACACTGCGTAAGTTGAGACAGAAAGGAAGACAAAAGGGTTGGTGCTTACTATGAATATCAGCCATTCTGTGGGTTTTCTTAAATAGTTTAATCCTTCAAACACCTGATATTCAATGCCCTTAGCTCATCTCAATTTCAGCACCTGTAGAGTGTGGGGAAACAGGTGGAGAGAAAAAGGGAGAGAATGTATATAAACATAAATATGAGTTAACTCAGGTGAACTTGCTAATCCTCCTTTCTTTCCTTTTCCTGGGCCGTGGTTCTGTGACTTAAGTATACATACATTTCATCAGGAGTGCTTGGGAACCGCGTAAGGATCCCACCCCCAGAGATGTTGATTGTTTGGGTTTGGCCGGGATAGGGTGGTGGTGGGAGAAGGGGCCTTGGGGCTCTGTTTAACAAGCACCATTGGCAGTTGAGATACAGATAACCCAGGACCACGGTGTGAAAAACACCCTCCTTTGGTAATCTAGAGGTTATCCTCCAAAATGAGTACCAGTCTTTACTTGGTTAAAAAACGAAACTAGGGCGCCTGGGTGGCTCAGTTGGCTAAGCGACTGCCTTCGGCTCAGGTCATGATCCTGGAGTGCTGGGATCGAGTCCCACATCGGGCTCCCTGCTCAGCAGGGAGTCTGCTTCTCCCTCTGACCCTCTTCCCTCTCGTGCTCTCTGTCTCTCATTCTCTCTCCCTCAAATAAATAAATAAAATCTTAAAAAAAAAAACGGAACTAAAGGGGCGCCTGGGTGGCTCAGTCGGTTAAGCGTCTGACTCTGGAATTCAGCTCAGGTCATGATCTCAGGGTTGTGAGATCGAGCCCTGCATGGGGCTCCGAGCTGGGCATGGAACCTGCTTAGGATTCTGTCTCCCTCTGCCTCTGCCCCTCCCCCAACCCCTCTCCCTCTCTAAAAAATAAATAAATGCAACTATAAAGGATCAGTTCTGAGGTTAACTTTTAATGTTTCTCCTCTTTAGGAATAATTTTAATGTCATTGTAAACACGATGCATACTTTTTGAAAAATTCCAACATACAGAAAAATACAAATAAGTAAGAAAGTTTCTTTTTGAGTTTCCTTGAAACCCTCTATCCAGTGCAGACTACCCTTAACATTTTGATAAACATTCTTCTAGACGTCTCTCCGTGTACTGCTTAAATATCTGAATTTTATGTAACTGGCATATATTACACCTGGGGTTCTGGAGGCTGTAAGTCAGGTACTTATTTCGCTCAGTATTATGTTGTGGACCTCATTTCCTGTCAGTAAATACAGAGCTTTAGCATAAATTCTATTGATTACTTAGTCTGAACACTTGTGTCTACTAGTGATTTTTTTTTCCCCTGGCACAGCTGTAATGAGCATCCTAGTGCACACACATTTTCACATTTTGGTACCATTTCCTTCAGGTAGATTTTATTTTATTTTATTTTATTTTATTTTTATTTTATTTTATTTTTATTTTTTAAAATATTTTATTTATTTATTTGACAGAGAGAGACACAGTGAGAGAGGGAACACAAGCAGGGGGAGTGGGAGAGGGAGAAGCAGGCTTCCCGCGGAGCAGGGAGCCCGATGCAGAGCTGGATCCCAGGACCCTGAGATCACGACCTGAGCTAAAGGCAGACGCTTAGTGGGGAGCCACCCAGGCGCCCCTTATTTCATTTTTTTAAAGATTTTATTTATTTATTTGTGAAACAGAGAGAGCGTGAGCAGGGGGAGGGGCAGAGGGGGGAAGCACACTCCCCACTGTGCAGGGAGCTGGACAACGGGACAATGTGGGACTCGATCCCAGGACTCTGGGATCATGACCTGAGCCACACAGGTGCCCCTCCTTCAGGTAGATTTTAGAAGAGGGGTTTCTGGGTCGAAGGGTATTCAAATGTTCAATATTCCTGTGTGCTGCCAAACTGGGAAGTGTTGTGCCAGTCTGTAGCACGGTACAAGAAGAGCACACCTCCACTTCCCTGCTTCCTCACTGCTCTGCCTTCCGGGGATGTAATGTTCTTTCCCTCTGTGAAGGATCGTCTTTGTTTTCTGATGACCCAGGAGCTAGATCAAAGTGTTGTCTTATGTTTTGGGGTAGTTTGACTTTTGTGAATTGCCTGTTTCATGGCCTCTGCTCATCTTTTCTACTGAGCTATCGAGTTTTAAAATTGGTGTCTATCAAGATACCCTTTTATATGTCATAGATGTTGCATATGCTTTTCCCCAGCTGACTATTTGCTGTTAAAACTTATTTTTATTTAGTTTTCCGTTAAAATTTCTCATTTTTTTCCCTTCATGGCCTTTAGTTTCTGCGAGGTGTTTACGAAGGTCTTTTCACCCCAAGCTTATGAAAATATCTACCTGTATTGTTTTTCTAGTACTTTTATGGTTGTATTTCACATTCAGACCTAATTTACTTTAAGAAATAAGGTCATGGTAATGCTTAATTGTTTTCCCCAAAGAGTTAATGTTATTTTGCATCATTTATTAAATAATACATCATTTCCTTCACTGCTTTGAACAATGTCATCTTTATAATCTGCATATTTACTTGGATCTACTTTTGAATTATCTATTACGCTAAGATTCAATTTTTAAGTTTTATTCTTTCTCCTCAGATTTTCTCCCTCTTTTCCCCCATTTATCTGCCTTTGGTGAAAATATATTTTATGTTAATAAAGAATATTCATTGTGGCCCTTTGGGAAAATAGCAGGTTCTGTGTAAATACATCTTAACCTAAATATGTCTACCCACAGGTCGACAGAGTAGAAAGCCAACATCAGGTAGAAATTTGGTCGCTGTCCAAAGATCTCAAGCCCCCTAAAGAATCTATCAAATTGTCCAAGAGCCTATTTTTTTTTTTAACTTATCTATTTTAGAGAGCACGCAGGGGGAGGGGCAGCGGGAGAAGGAGAGAGAAACCCAAGCAGACTCCAGGCTGAGTGCAGAGCCCAACTCGGGGCTTGATCCCATGACCCTGAGATCACAACCCGAGCCAAAACCAAGAGTTGGACACCCAACTGACTGTGCCACCCAGGTGCCCAAGAGCCTATTTTTAAGATACAATTTTGTTAGAAAACAAAAGTGAACAGATTTACGTTAGAAGGCCAGTGTTTTAATTCATCTGTATCGATCAAGTAAACCCTAATTGAACCCTGAAGAGAGAACATAAAGGACAAATTAATTTGGGGGCCTGAGTAGTAGAAAGAAGATAAAACTTCACTAACCTGTCAAGACAAGTACTATATGATCTCATTTATGTGTGTAATCTAAAAAAGCTGGACTGATAAAAACACAGAGTACAATGGTAGTTACCAGAGGCCGGGGATGGGAGCACTGGGGAGATAGTCATTTCAGGGCATGAACTTGCAACCAGTAGATAAATAACTTCTGGAGTTCTGATATGTAGCATAGTGATCGTAGACAGCAATACTATATTGTAAACATCAAAGTTGCTAAGAGGCTAGATCTTAATTGTTCCCATCACACGCGCGCACACACACACACACACACCCACAATCATGTGGTAGAGGTGTTAGCTAATTCCATGGTAATCATATTGCAATATATGAATAAATCAACACATCATACACCTTAAACTTACATGGGTTAGGTGATGTGTCGATTATATCTCAACAAAAATATATATATTTTTTAAAAAGAGTCCTTTAAAATTAAAAGGAAGTGTCAAAGGAAGAGATGAGTTCCATCCTCAAAGATAAGATTTGCCAATTTCCTCCATTATTTTAGGGAGGAAAACCCTCATTGGACCCTGATATAATATATTTGAGTCAGTTTTTTCACCCAGACTCTCTTTTAGCAGTTAAAAACAGACACCGTATTTTTTAAAAATTCTAATTGAACTTTTTAAAAAAGATTTTATTTAAATTTGACAGAGACACAGCGAGAGAGGGAACACAAGCAGGGGGAGTGGGAGAGGGAGAAGCAGGCTTCCCGCTGAGGGGGGCTTGATCCCAGGACCCTGGGATCATGACCTGAGCGGAAGGCAGACCCTTAACCAACTGAGCCACCCAGGCGCCCTGTACTTGAATTTTTTAACCTTGCCCCCAGGACAAGGCCGCACAAAGTAACCTTCCTTGTGGGCAGGAGTGCCCTCTCCTGGCAAAGCTCTGCTAGTGACAATTAACAAAGAATTGGGATGCTTGTTGTGTATATATGTGTATGTGCATATGTATCTTTGCTCACTTTTCTAGCCATTTTGTTATGATTTTTTTTTGAAATGGAATTGCTGGATAAAAGAGTAGGAACTTACTTACTTTTGATAGATTTATTAGATTGCCCTCCAGAAGGATTGTCCTGATTTATCCTGCCAACCAGTTGAGTATAAAGTACCCATTCCCCTTACCTTTGCCAGCTTTGAATAGTAGCACACGTTTAATCTTTGTCAATATGATGAGGTGGGAAAAAGTACTGTGTTATATTAATATGTTTTTGATTATTAGAAAGGCTGACAATAATCTTTTCATATTGAATAAATCCTGTTCTTTTCTTTACTCCACTCTGCTTATATAAATCAAGCTACATCATACAAGTGCTTGTGAAATCAGCTTAAGGAAGTTCCCTCATGTTCCTAGTTTGTTGAGTGCTTTTTTTTTTTCCCCATGAAAGTATGTTGGATTGTGTCAAATGCTTTCTCTGTGCCTATTGAGATGGTCATGTGGGGCTTTTCATAGGATATATTATAATGATTGATTATATGGTGAACCACCTAGCATTCTTTTTTTTTTAAGATTTTATTTATTTTTTGACAGAGAGAGACACAGTGAGAGAGGGAACACAAGCAGGGGGACTGGGAGACAGAGAGGCAGGCTTCCCGCGGAGCAGGGAGCCCGATGCGGGGCTGGATCCCAGGACCCTGAGATCATGCCCTGAGCCAAAGGCAGAAGCTTAACCGACTGATCCACCCAGGCGCCCCTTCATTGATTTTTTTCTATTGTAATCTATTCTCCATGTCATTTATCTCTGCTCTAATCATGATTTCTTTCATTTTGCTTTCTTTACATTTAGTTCTTCTTTTTTTAGTTTATTAAAGTGAA